ATAAGGATATAGATTGGCTTCGATAAATATATCTCTATGCATGCAGCAACCTGGTCGAGTATTTAGGGTTTAGCACTTAGGGTTTAGGGTTTAGGGTTTAGGGTTGCGATGCCTCACTTTCTGAATCAAGATTTCCCGGATGTCGACGTGCACAACACCGAAGCGGTTGGTGAGCAAACAACTTTGCGTCGATTTTCCGCTGGCACAGCTCCCAATTATCTGCACAAAACCCTAAACCCTAAACCCTTAACCCTAAACCCTTGACCCTAAACCCTCACGTCTAAGCCCTAAACCCCAACTCCAGAAGTAGAAAACACAAGCTTGAAAATTTCCTGTGTTGTGAGACCAGCGTCATATTCCTTCCCCCCCCTTCCCCCTCCCGCCGGTTTTTTCTTTAGCTGCGTATCAGTGCTGAAACCCTAATTATCTGCACTGCTCAAACCCTCGGCGCTACAGGAAGTGCTGCCGCCTTGAAGGGATGCGGAGAGGCAGCAGACACCTACGCAGAGTTTGGGCGGCTGCAAACGCAGCTTCGAACCACCGTCGAGGCCGCACCTAGCCTGTACAGACAGCAGAAGACGACACGGCGCAGTGGTTCTAGCTGGAACTTAGAATAACGTCTCTGCTGCTTTCCCTGCAGTTGCTGATGCTGCTATTGCTAGTGCTGCAGATGCTGCACTTCTCTCGGGCTTTACTGCATGCGGCGGAGCAGCACTCAAAAACGGGGTGCAACCAACCAAGAGTTGGATGCACCCCGCTCTTGAGTAACGGTCGCGATGCCTCTGTTGGAAACCCCAAACCCTAAACCCTCAACCCGTACCTCTATAGTCTCGATAAGACTGTCTGTGCCTTGTTCAGCTGGGACGGTCTCTGCAAGGGGCCCCAAGACCTCGAGCACCCCGCTGGTGTGCCTGATGGTTTGACAAGGACTTTCGGATGGTTTAGGGTTTAGGATTTAGAGTTTGCTGGTGGCAGGTGTGTTTAGAGCGTTTTTCGAGGGTTTAGGGTTTAGGGTTTATTGCCTGCCTGTACAGCTGACGCAGAAACGCATCTGCCTCTCTTGTGACCAACAGCCGATTGCGCCTCTCTGAGGCTTGAGTGGTGCTGGGGCGGAAGAAGGGTCCAGCGAGCCCTGCACGTGTGTCTGTTGCTGCTGCCGCTGCTGCTGCTGCTGCTGCTGCTGCTGCTTCTGCTGCT